CTTTGAATATATGCCCAGGAGTGGGATTCCTAAACATAAGTGGTAGTTCTATTTCCAGTTTTTGGAAGAACTTCCATCTGCTTTCTATAATGGATATACTAATTTATAGCTCCACAGAGTGTATGAGTTCTCCAGTCTCTGCCCCCTCACCAGCAACTATTATTTGTCTTTCTCATAGCCATTCTAACTGGGGTGAGAGGCTAGCTCATTGAGGTTTTGATTGGCACCTCCCTGATAGTGGTGGTGGTGAGCATTTTTTGCATACACATTGTGCATTTGTATGTCTTCTTTTGGGAAGTGTCTGTTCAGGTCCTCCCCTGGCCCACAGCAGCCCCCCCTCTCCTGCTGTCCCTCTCTGGCGTAGCTTCCGGGCACACATCCCTCCACATCCAAGGTACAACCTGATGAGTTAGGAGGGAGTGACTTTCCCCTTTTGCAGAGGGTCTCACTCCCACTCCCCAGAGGGCTGCACTGGGCCCGGAGGCAGCAGACCTAGGGGCTCTTCAGAATGCATTATCCCACCTTGCACCCTCAATGTAGCATTTCAATCTAGAATGTTCCAAGTGTGAAAAATCAAAGACTATCTAAAGGTAGAATTTCATTCCAGAGTGTTCTCTGCAGTCCTGAAGGGTCTCCTGCTTTCTGCCCCACCCTTTGGTCCCAGCACAGGACCCCCTCAGCAGGGAGAGACCAAGAGGCCTGGCGCAGACAGAGGAGCTGCCTGGCTGGCTCTTTTCTGTCCCACAGAGCCAGCCCAGGGGATGGGAACAGGCGTGTTAACCTCCTGCCCACAGCCTGGGCCAAGGCTGCAGAACACATCACCCAGTGGAAGAGGCAGCTCTGCTCCGTGAAACATGCAGAGGACCTCTGAGGTCCTTCATGTCCCCCAGAAATGAACTCACAGACCTGATTTGGTTTCTAGGTAACTTTGAATTTTTTTTTTCTTTTACATTTCTCCCAGAAATTCAAGTCTCATTTTAACCACACCGCCTGCCTTCCTCCTCCTAGCATTAATCCAGAGACCAAACCAAGAGCAAGTAACACTGTCACCGGGGCCTCTAGGTGGAAACCCTACTTGATGCCTATTGTCACAATAGGGCAGGCCTTGACGCAGAGCGGAACAAATCCTGAGACGGGTTGCAAAAACCGTTTGCAAAGTTCAGGAATGAAGTCTCATTACCCAGTCGGGAAGGAAAGGAGTGCTCAGACCCTTCACACACTGAGAAATGGCCTGGGTCTTGTTCCCAGGCTCTTTTCAGCATCAATTAGAGGCTAATTATAGCTCTTAGGCTGGGCCAGTATAGGTACAAACACCCTTCACCTTGGGGTTCTCGGTCACCAGTTGGTGCCAGCCAGGACTTTCCAAGCAACGCAGCTTGCACCAAACTCCAGCTCCCAGACCCCTCCCAAGGCCCGCAGCCCCTCTCTGCTCCCTGGCTCCATGGGTTTGGTCACTCTACCTACTCTGTATAAACGGGATCATCACAGCATTATGTGCTGAGTGACTGGCCTACGTCACTTAGCACAGTGTCTTCAAGTTCACCCCTGTGGCAGGAGGCAGAACTCCCTCCCTGTTAAGGCTGAATGCGTCCAGTGCATGGAGGGACCACACTTGCTTATCTCTCCAGCAAGGTGGTTGCTTCCACCTTAGGGCAGTTGTGACTAATGCTGCTATGAACCTGGGGTGCTGTGAACGTGGGGTGCACACTCCTCCTGGAGTCCCCACCTGCGGATGTCTTACAGCTGTACCCCAAGGTGAAGCTGCGGGTCCTACGATAATTCTGTCTGATTGTTTTGAGGGTCTGCCTGCTGTTTCCCGGGTCTTCTGCAGCCTTGGTTTTATCCCTGCCTGCCCCAAGGCAGGCACAGCTCCTCCTCTCCCCACCCCCCGCAGGAGACAGTAGGTGCAAAGAGCCCACCCACCCACACCCACACCCAGGAGGGACACATTCCTGGGGCATTTTCTGCTCTCTGAATTTCCTCTCCACCTTCCCCTCTCACCTCCTCACCTCACCTCGCCTGCTTGGGAGTGAGGATGCTCCTCTCCTCTGACAGAGCCCTTTAATGACACTGTTTGTGACTGAATTCCGCCCTGGGCGGGTTCACCTTCCACCTGCAGAAACAGCCAGCCGGCTGTCCTAGGAGGGCTCCTGTGTGCCTGGTGGAAACCGATGTCTGTGGGTGACCATCGAGCCTAGATCACATTCCAGCCCTGCCGAGGGCCACCTTCCTTTCCTCCACACCTGGGGTACCCACCATCTCCCTACAAAGTGCTGAGAGCCCCTGATCAGTGGCATCTCACCTCCTTTCACCAAGTGCCAAGGTCAGGCTTGCCGGAGAGATCAGTGTACCTCTCAGAGTCCAGCAAGTGCCTCATCCCCAGAGGACAGCAGGCCACCTGGGAGAGGGGAGGGAAGTCAGTGTCCCACAAGGACACACACACTGAGAGGTGCATCACCCTCAGGGGCCAGGACCAGCGGTCAGTCTGTTAAAGGAGAGATTAAGCCTGGGATGCCCTGGCCTGGTCCTGAGTCCGGACCTGCGTTGGGGCACTAGAGAGCTGGCGAGCGCCCGCCTCCTTTGGCCATTGAGGCTCATATTCATGGAGTGTTGAGTTTGTCTCTTACATGCCTCCTTTGAGAGGCAAAGGACAGAGGTTCAGGGAGCATTAGTGGCTTTGCCCAAAGCCACTGAGCCAGCAGGAGAGGGGCTTCACCTACACACTCTCACCCAAGCCATGAAGCCCTACATCTGCTGCCCCAGGGGGACAGGAGCCCTGGAGGGGCCACTGCACTGCCTGTGGCCAGCCCCAGGGACCTGAGTGCCATGTTCCCAGGCTGCTGAAACATAACCTTTCCCCCTCTCTGCTGCCCCCTGCAGGCGGTGTCTCACAGCTCCTCTCAGACACTTGGCCAACCTGAAATTCTCCAGTGTTAAAGGATATTTCAGAACAAAGATCCAATTCCTGAGGCTAAAATGCGGATCTAAACCACAGGGTTCCTCACTTTCAAAGGATATCTATCTTCAGATTCCAAAATACTCCTAAGAGAAGCAGGACAAGCCAGGCTCCAGAGGATGGCGTGAAGGCAGAGGTGTGGACAGTGTGTCTTCAGACAGGTCCGACCTCTGTCTCCGTCAGAGAGGGCGCAGGCATCGCGCCGCCCAGTCCCCGGCATATTAGGGGCTTCACAGAAAATGAGTAGATGACCAGCCACTTGTGGCAGCCCATCACCCTCAATCTGGTGCTACTCTAAATCATTAGGATTCCTGACTGGCAAAGAATTTGAGTTGTGATGCCCGAGGATTGAAAACTGAGCTCGGGAGTGGGACTGTGAACACCCATCCCAATCCTTGCTGACCCTCAGGTGAAGTCAAGGCTTTCTCTCTTGATGCTTCTCACCCATGAAATCAGGAAACGAGATCTGTAAGGTACATTGAAAATGAGTCCTCATGAGGTCACGCATTTTTCTACCCAGTAGCGCCTCGTATTCCCAACTCTTGAAGAGGAAGGTGAGGACATTTGCTTTAATTTGCGTAACCACAAATTAGGAAGGGTCCCTCTGGAGTCTCATTTGGCTTCAAGCCCCAGGTGGGCCACACAGGACCCCAAAATGCTAAAACAATAACCACTGGCAAGTGTAGGCAGAGTGAATTGTGAGAAGGAATCAGACCTCAATTCAAGTAGGGGCAGCCTGTGGCCTGTCTTGGTGACACTAAATGGAAAATACTCCTCTAAGCCTGGCGATATCCTGCCCCACTCTTGCTCTGCCATGTCACGATTGTGAAGCTGAGTGACACATTGAGCCCCTCAGCTTGAACACCCTGGCTCATAAAATTCAGGCTCATGCTGCCCTGCTGGTACCTCTGGGACCATGGGGTCCCACAATTTCCACATGGAGATGGATTCTGGAATCTGTCAGCTGGGGTCACGTGTGGAGTTATCATCATGTCCCTTCCTCATCAGGAAACACAGAGGCACTCAGATCACTGTAGCCTCCCACAGGGTCACAGATCACTCAGACAGCTCCACGTCCCGCGCTCCGGCTCTCCCTCGGAGGCGGAACTTAGCGGTCAGTCCTTGAGGTCATGGAGTCTGATGGAGTCTGACTGAGTCACTGACCAGCTCCGCTAATGGGGGACTCTGCGACCTGACAGGGTTTCTTCTCGGTACCTCTACTTCCCTACCCACGATGGAGTTTTACTCCATGGGCTGCAGTGAGGAGCCCTGATGTGTGTGAATACACCCAAAGAGCCGGGAACCATGCCTGGTTCACAGTAAGAGATAGTCACCTCGTTTCCTTTGAAACTTTATTAAATATTTCAGCATTCAAGGACATTTAAAGGATAATATAGCAGCTGCCAGCCCCCCAGCATATGACCTAGAGCCCTTAAAAGTCCCCCCCCCATTACATTCCTCTTTCCCACCCAGAGGAGCCATGTTCCTGAACTCAGGGTTTGTCATTCTCATCTTTTCTTTATCCTCTTGCTGCATCCGAATATATCGCTAAACAGTGGGAATGAACTGGAAGGGTTTTTGGTCTGGTTTGGTTTGGAACCAGGGATTGAACCCAGGGGCTCTTAACCACTGAGCTACATCCCCAGCCTTTTTTTTTTGGAAACAGGGTCTGGCTAAGTTGCTTAGGGCCTCCCTAAGTTGCTAAGTCTGGCTTTGAACTTGTGCTCCTCCTGCCTCAGCCTCCTGAGCCCCTGAGATTACAGGCATGTGCCACGGCACTCAGCTGGAAGTATCTTTAAGCCAGGACTACATGCACCTCTTTCAGAAGAGAAGGATTTAGATAGTAACTTGCCCAGCACAAAGCTTGGTTGGACAAACACACCCTCCTTTGTCACCTGAGCCCAGAAGCTGCTGATGTTTCTAGATACACCATTCAATGGCCCAAGACATCCATTAGGACTCCTAGTAAGGGGTCTGTGCTTGTGAGGGACCAAGGAGCCGCCACCCCCACCGCTCTTGCTGACCCCTCCCTCGTCCCTTCCAGGCGGAGATGCGGCTGCAGGACCAGCAGCTGGCCAGGCAGCTCATGCGCCTGCGAGGTGACATCAACAAGCTCAAGATTGAGCAGACCTGCCGCCTGCACAGGAGGATGCTCAACGATGCCACCTACGAGCTGGAGGAGCGGGACGAGCTGTCCGACCTCTTCTGCGACTCCCCGCTGGCCTCCTCCTTCAGCCTCTCCACACCGCTCAGGCTCATTGGGGTCACCAAGATGAACATCAACTCCCGGAGGTTCTCTCTCTGCTGAGAAGCCCCAGAGGGGCAGAGGACCCCAGAGGGAGGGAGCTGGGCTGGGCAGTTACCCAGTGGGGTCCCCCGGGCATGCCCCTAGGACCTGGTGGAGGGAGGGTGCTCTTGGGAGGCCCAGCCATGGACCCCAGTGTCTCCTGGCCCCCTCTTATTCAGCACCCTGAGTGTGCAGAAGCTCCGTGGGCAGGGTCCCAGGTGCTCCACCTCAGTCCCCCACTCCTGGATAGCTGGTGCTATGAACTGGGACCCCCAAGGGAGCCCCCAAAGCTTGCTACTCTTATAGAAAGCTCTCCCCAGGGGCGATTAGATGTGTTAGAAGCACCCATCTCACACCGGTGCCACCCTCCAAGTCCTGGCTCAAATTCGCCCTTGGTTGGTGACTTAGCAGCCTTGACAGGGACCCAGCAGGAAAGGAAACCAGAAAGAAGAGCAGGATGTGGTGCTGGAACGTAGGACCCTTGGCCTGGCAGAAGCCAGTGCCCTGGTGGCACCACCCGGGCTGCTGTCAGTCTTGGGCCTGGGCACCGTGAGGCCAGGTAAATGAGTGGCTGGGACGCGTGCTAGTTGTGCACTTGTGTGGCTGCGGTGGGGCCCCCTTGCCTCCCCTGGCCATATGCACCAACAGCTGGAGAGCACCTAGGAGGTGGCTGGCGACTGGGCCAGGCAGGTCGGGAACAGATCACCCATCACTGAGTTCCCCAGAGGGTGCACAACAGAGCCTCCAGGGAGCCCAGAAGCCCATCCTGGGCCTCCTCTGAGACAGTGTCTGACCTCAACCGCCCACTTTAATTGAATAGACTGTAATAGACTGTTACACTAACGTGTTGCTAACTTGTTTATAACTGTTTGGTTCTCGTCCAAACTGGAAGCCAGTTGAGCAGGTCGAGCACAGAGCTTGGGGTTTGGCTTTAAGAGTTAGTTTCTCCCACACAGGAAGTGTGAGGGTGGGCAAGCAGGGAGCAGGTTGGCGAAGTCACCTGGTCACTCCCACATGCCACAGGGTGACCCCAGGGGCAGGAGTTTTTATATATTTGATGGCATCTGGCAGAGTCCTCTCCTGGATAAAGGAGCAGAGTGAAGCTGGGGCAGGAGAATGACTGTCCCTGGGTCACCCGGCTGTCCAACGGCTGTAGACTATGAAGGTGTGAAATCATTGTGAACATGCATAGAGAGGCCAGCCACCTTGAACCCAAAGATGCTTTGCTAAACCCATAAACTGCCCACTCCCTCCACAGCCCAGCCCCCACCCTGTCTTCCTACTTTTTGATCCAGAGTATTTGAGCGGGAGGCAGAGCAGTGCCCGGATGGTGGCCCCTCGGGTCCACGCCACTGGTCTCCATCCTTAAGTATCCTGACTCTCCAGGTTCCAGGTCCCTTATTCTGCAGGCCACGTCCACACCCCCACAGCCCACCTGGTAGGAGCTGTATTTGGGGGGGAATGAAATGGGGAAGAGCAAATGAGGGGCCCCAGGTAGCAAGAAGAGAATGTGGTGTCTTCCTCGTGACTTCAGGGAGACCCAAAGAAGGTAGAAGAGCATAGCCAGGATTTGTTGTTGGCCCTAAATACCAAAGGATTTGTCTGGCAGGCTTTCCTGGAGGCCAAATAGCACGGCCAGGTCCTGAGAGGACTTCCCTCCTGCCACCTCCTTCCACACCGGTCCTGCAGGCCACAGGCCATCTGCTGGCCATTACCCACCCACCCACCCACCCTGCAGAGAACACACAGGAAAACCCATCCCATATTCAGGAAAAAAAAAAAAAAATATATATATATATATATATATATATATATATATATATATAAATGGTTTTCTTTTTAGAAATCAGTCATTAGAGTAATTGAAAAAATTGGAGTGAAGGAAAGTGGAGTGACAGAGATGAAGTGGTCAGCACCGTGGAGTGGCTTGCGGCTGAGCAGCCCTCAGCTCTGTGGCCCAGCGGGGCCCCTACCTTTGTTCTCTGGAAGGAAGTTAAGACCCAGACAGATGTTTGAGGATAGTTTAGATGTTTCAGCTACTTTGTTTAGTTCATCCCAAGAGAATTTTATTTTGGGATAGGAGGGGAGGTGGAGGTCTGCGAAGTGCAGGGAAAGACAGCTGTGCTTCCCCGTGTGGTGTCCCACACCGGTTAGCACCTGCCTTCCACCGTGAGCCCGTGACTAACTGATTCCTTCAGCTTTGTGAAGTCCCTGCTGTGTGGCAGCCAGGTGGTTCCAGCCTCCATCACTGACTTTCCGGCTTACCATGCGTATACAGTGCTGTTTGCAGATTCATCCATGAGCCATCTCTGTGCGCCCCCCCCCCCCAGGATGTAAAACACCCACCAAGTCTCCACTGTGCTGTCACATGTGGTCATGTCCGATGCCTTCGTAGGCTCAGTAGCCATCACAGAGGCCTAAAGGGCCTGGGCAGGCTTGACCTACCCCTGTAGCAATACCAAGTGCTATTACATAATCGATGGACAATTTTATTTTTATGATTGTTTCTATATTGCTGTTAGAAAAAGTGAAATAAAAAATTTCAAAAGAAGATATCCATGTAAAGAAGAGACATTTGCTTCCTTTTAGCTTGTTCTTGTTATAGCACATGCAGGGTCCTTTTCCTAGTTGAAAGAGGTGGATGGATGGATGGATGGATGGATGATGGATGGATGATAGATGGATGATGGATGGAAGATGGATGATGAATGGATGGATAGATGAATGGGGAGATGGATGGATGGATAGATGAATGGGGAGATGGATGAATGGATGATGGATGGATGCATGATGGATGGATGATTGATGGATGGATGGATGGATGATGGATGATAGATGATGGATGGATGATTGATGGATGGATGATGGATGATGGATGGATGATGGATGATGGATGATGGATGGATGATTGATGGATGGATGATAGATGATGGATGATGATGGATGATGGATGGATGATGGATGGGTGGATGGATGATGGATACGTGGATGAATGGATTGAATAAATGGATGATGGATGGATGATAGAAGGGTAGATGAATGGATTGAATGGATAATGGGTGGATGGATGGATTATGGATAGATGGATGAATGGATGATGGATGGATGACGGATGGATGGATGATAGATGATGGATGGATAATGGATGGATGGATGGATGGATGATGATAGATGGATGATGGATGATGGATGATGGATGGATGACAGATGGATGGATGATGGATGATGGATGGATAATGGATGGATGGATGATGGATGATGGATGGATGATGATGGATGGATAATGGATGGATGGATGATGGACGGGTGGATGGACAGATGATTTGGGTCATCAGATGAAGGTGTAGGAGGGAGGAAAAACTCACCAGTCATTCTCTTCCTCCACTGTGCCTTCCCCCAAGTTAGGTGGCTTGATGGCAGTTACCATCAAATTCTGCAGGGTACGTGGTATGAGTTCAAGATGTGGACTTAAGAAATGCAGTCATTCTTCCTGCATTTGGCCAAAGCCAAAGCAAAGAAAACCCATTATCTCCCCGTTTTCCACAGGAGAACACTGTCAAGCTCTGATGAAGACCTGTGCCTTCAATTTTTTCAGCCACTGACAGCAACTTTTAAACCTGAAAATCAGCGTGCTTGAGAATTGCCTGAGGTGCTTGCTGCAAACAAATATTTCTGGGAATGTTCCCGGGAACACAATCCCTGTTGCGCAACTCTGGAGTGGGGCCTGGGAATCTGTTCTTGGCAAACACTCCAGGTGGTAATGCAGGTGGGTCCAGAGACACTTTGGGAAAGCTTCAGAGGACAAAGCAGCTCAAGGGAAGGCACGTTTTAGAACTGGTCCTGCTGTGGTCTCAGAAGAGGCCAAGTCAGAGATCAAAGCAGGTCAGTAACCACACTGCAGGGAGAAACACCTGAGAGCAATTGCAACTGTGTAGCAGCCACTGTGATTGCACCACCTGCCCCTCCAGGAGCAGCCGGCATGGTCTCTCTCCTCCAAGAGCATGCAGGTACAAATGGCATGTGGCTTCGGGGTGTGAGAGGGTGTCGAGAGGTGTAGCGTAGCTCGTGGAAATCCACCACTGCATTGGCAGGGGATTCAGAAGAATCTCACAAGTTACTGGCCTTTCCATCGCTGCAGCCAGGGCCACAAGTCCACTTTTCCAACCCAAAGGAAAACTAACATGGCCTACAAACAGGACCAATAACTGGTGCCACAGAGGAGAAAAGGGAACACAGCATGTGGAGTGGTGGAGGTGCTCACCCAGCAGACAGGTGCTACACAGCCAGCCACCGAGGATCATGGGGAAGAGTCCAGAGACAGGGGAAGAGTCCAGAGACAGGGGCAGACCAAACGAAACAGATGGTCCAGGGGAGTCGGTGCCCAAGGCAGGCTCTCGGCCGTGACCAGCACAGGGAGTGGGGTGTTATTGGGTTGTGCAGCAAGATCTATGTAGGAAGCACTTACTGCCCTATAGAAAGTGTGGGGGCAGGGCAAAACTGGAGCCCGGAAGAATACAGGGCAGCCACAGAGGAGTGACAAGGGTCTGGCTGGGGGCTTATTTGGGGACATGCTCTGGGTGATAGTTTGACGGTAAAGCCAATGGATACACTGACCACTTGGACATGGCAATAAGGAAATGGAGGAATGAAGGTTGGACTCTGGCCAGCAGCTGTGAGGAGGTGGGGAGTTACTGAGAACCAGTGGGCACCAACAGCTCTGCTTCGAGTTGTGTTTAAATGTAGTGTGAGGATTTGTGTCAATGTGACCAAAATACCTGACAAGAACAACCTACAGGAGGAAAAGCTCATTTTGGCTCATGGTGTCAGAGGTTTCAGTCCACAGGCGGTCAACTATATTGCTTGGGCCCTAGGTGAGGCAGAACCTCATGGCAGAAGGACAGTGGTAGAAGACAGCTAGTCCACTCATGGCAGCGGAGAAACAGAAAGGAGGGGAGAAGGGGCCACAGGGAAGATGAACTCTTCCAGGGCACGCACCCAGGGACCCACCCCCTCTGCCACTCCCCACCTATCTAAAGTCACCACCCAGTCAGCCCATTCAAAATAGGGTGGACTCAGTGCCGAGGCGACAGCTCTTGCAATCCTGTCACTTCACCTCTGAAGACTCCTGTATTCACAGAAGAGCTCTGGGAAGCCAACTATAACAGATGTCAGTTAGACAGCCAAGTCGGGGTTGAGGTGGACACAGGGCCTGGGGTCAGGTAAAGACCGACATTGGAGACACACATTTGGGAGTCTGGATCTGGATCAGAGAGCTTTAAAACACTCCATCTGGACAAACTCCCCTAGGAAGAGGGCCAAAGCACAGAGGAGAAGAGGCTACACACAGCATCCTGGGGATCCCAACATGATTTCTTTTGATTGGCTATTGACAATGTGTAATTGCATATGTTTAGGGGTACAAAGTGATGCTGATACACGAGCACAATGTGCAGTCACCAAATCTAGCTAACACATCCACCACCTCAAACACTTGCTGTTGATTTCCCTGCCTAGCTGGGGCTTAGCCTCAGCCAAGGTGTCCCTCCCTGCTCCCCATCCATCCCAGAGCCTGGAAATCACCACCCTGCTCTCTGCTCCCAAGAGTTCACCATTCTTAGGTTCCACACGTGAGTAAGAAAATGCAGTCTGAGGACTCCATCAATTGAAGATTTGACAGGCAAAAAGAAATGGTTGGAAGAAACAGCTAGGAAGTTAGAAGAAAATCCCTGGGGACAGGCCTCAGAGAAGCCTCCAGAAGAAAATATTGCAAGAAGGAGAGAGCCATCCACACCAAAAGTGACCCTGAGTAAGACGAGGACCGAGATGGACATTGGCTTCAGCACATGGAGAGCACCAAGCACCACGGTGAGGACAGAGGTCCAGCCGCGCAGGTCAGGGAGAACCCGGAGGACAGGAATAAGTGGCAGAGCGAGGCCTCTGTGTCCAGTGGCTTTGCTGAACAGGGAGCTGAGGAATGAGATGAGCAAGGACACAAAGCCCAGGGGACAGATGTGGGTTTCTTATAATGATGTAAGATAAAGGTGTTGGCCCGGAGGACCCACCAACTGTCCCGTGGGGGGAGGGAGACTGACAGGCAGGAGCAAGAAGAAGCTGTGGCAGTGGAGCAGCTGAAGTGACTGTGCAGGGGACGCTGGGCCCGGGGAGGGCAAGGACAGCTCCATCCTAGCAAGAGGGAAGCCTGGGGCTGCCCAAGATGTGCAGGCCGGTCAACACCAGGAAGAGAAGGTGAGCCCAAGGCATGGCTCCTGCTTTCTCCATGAAATGGGAGCGTGAATTGGAAGGAGTGGAATGTTACAGGTTTGAAGAGAGAGTCTTTGACATAATGATCTGAAAAGGAGTTGGTCAATTTGTTAGCAAAGTACCGTGAGGTCGTCTGCTGGGGCTGAGGTCACACATGCCATGCGGGTGACTTTTCCCCAGCCACCCTTAGCCGTTCCCACACAGGCGCAGACAGGCGGTCAGTGGGAGAGGGGATTCGTCAGGCCGTAAGACGCAGGATAGAACAGGAAAAGGAAAGTGTCTTTGGAGGAGCCATCGCAGTGTCGTCTAAGGCACCAAGCTGAGGAGGGAGGGACAGGGCAGAGAGGACGGGTGGTGGCCGTGCTGGAGAGGTGGGTGCGGGCTGGACATCTCAAATCCACTTGGGATGCTGGAGGGAAGGTGCTGGAGGAACAGAGAGGTAATAATCACAGGCGGCGACCGATTTGGGGAGAGTGGAGGAGACATTTCGGAGGTGATGCAGCCTCTGCATTCAGCGGCCCGACTATGGCCTCATTAGTCGCCAGGCCAGCTGAGTCTACCTGGGGTGCTGGGGACTTGGCCAAGAGTATGGCTTCCACAGCCCCCAAGTTCCTACCATCTCTTTGGAAAGAGGGTGTTGAGCTGATTCCCACCGCCGGCTTCTGAGCTCTTTGCTCATTGTCCTTGTCTGAGCCCCATATCTGTCGTGGTCCCCCAGCTTGGGAAGGAGGCAGGGCTGCCACAGAAGAGACCTATGACAGGTGACAAAGACAGCAGACAGGCCTGCGCAGCCCGGGCCCATCTGATGGGAGCTGAGCAGATTGAGGGCTGCAGATGTGGCTATTTTTAAATACCCTGTTCACAGACTCAAAGGGAACAGGAGACAGCTAGGTGGGCTCTGGAGGAAATCGATGCCAGAAGAGAAACCTCAGAGGAGCACGAGGGCTCTGGGAAGTGGCCGTCCACACCCACTCAGGGAGACAGGTCGTCCACGAGGTTTCCTTCCAGCACCAGGGGAGACTAGGAGGCTCAGGCCAGCCTCACAGGAGAGCAGGGTGTTTACTGAGCAGGGGCCCCAGATCGCTCCTGGCCTCACCCACTTCTCCACGCAGGGCCTACTGAGCACTGAGGAAGGAGCTTTTGCCAAGGAAGGAACAGAGTCCCAATGACAAGCAGGACCCCCGTCTCCCTCCAGAAGTCTCACCTGCCCAGGTGGGTCTAGCCCAGGCCCTGAAGGGCTTAGGGAATGCCCCTCCCCACCCACCCTGCACCTGCAGCCTCACTGGGAACAGTG